CAATAATATCATTGGCATATTGATTGGTTGGTCTACGATGTAGATAATTATAATCTACAAGTGAATAGACTTGTTTAGCACCAATTGCTTTAATCAAATCTCTTTCTAAAATGAATCCTTGATCCTCTGCTTTCACTATTGCTTCCATAGTTTTGATTAAATGACGATAATTCCAGGCTGGTGGAGAAAGCTTATCTGGAACTTTCAAGCTTTCAGGATAAAGACCACACTCCAACTTATCATCTTCTAGTCTAAAAATCGAAAAATCACTATCTGTAAAATAATTAGTTATAACATTAGGTTTTAAATTGGCAAAAATGGTCATCTTCTATAAAAGGGAATAATAAATCTGATATGTACCTTCAAGCTTTCCTCCGTAATTTTTGTATTCCTCGACATACATATCAATAATGAGCATGCGTGTACCTGTTATTCTGCAGACCTGGTCAAATCTACCTCTGAGTTCTTCACATTCTTTTTTAAATAATAAATACCATGTGAGTACTTGATATGAGTAAATATATGATTTAGCAAAAAGACATACCATGTCGAGGAAGAACATCCATTTCAAAATACTCTTCAGCTTCTTCCCTACTCAAATCTCCAACAATATATGGGGTCACATGTGGGACATGCAAAACTATTAGAACAAATGTAGATTAGAAAATGATAGACCTTTACATTGCTACTAAATATGATTACAAAATGGACTTACGATCTACAATCCAGTTAAGAAAGAATGAATCAGAAGAGGTAAGTACTACGTGGAAACGTTTGTTTTGTTTTGTATTCATAACCAACCAATTCAGAATTGATTTGAGAATAATTTCTCCTTCTTTTGAACGTGTAAGTTGGTTAAACATGTTTGCTTCATCAATGATTAAAATGGGTGGAGGTATGTTATAGCCATTCCAGAAGTTCCATTTTGGAAGGGCACGTGCAATATTATTAATCAACTTTCTGACATCATTAGAAGTAATTTTTTCTTCATTAAACAGATCCCGACCAAATGGCTTAACTTTTAACTGTAAATCATCTATCACAGCACTGATTTCCCCTTGTTGAAACATTTCTGTCAAGAACTTCATATGTCTCTTGAAAAATGGTTGGAATTGCGAAGAAATTGAATCATAAATTGTCTTTGGTGTGTCAAATTGTCCTTGACGGCAGTCGATAAAAAGAGGGTTGAAATCGCCTTTACTCGTTACCTCGCGGACCAATTCGGTTTTCCCACTACTAGGAGGACCTAGAACAACATGAAGTCGTGGATCGGAACTAAATGCATTTTTAAATTTAAAAAGTTCTCGTTTCCGATTGAAAAAGCTCCTTTCACCTTGTGTTGTATAATGAGCAACACAACCATTACTCAGCATATTTGAGATACAACTACCATCAATAGGCAAGCGTTTGAAGGATTTAGTTAAACTGAAAACAAACATAACAGAAAAGATTTATACACATAACCCTGTGAAACAATTGATTTTTATCAGTATCACATGATAAAATTCACAAAAAATTATGATTTAAAAATGACGCCAGCTTATTCAGCATAGTGGAAATTTGAAATGTCACACTAATTTTTTATATTGTGCAACATAGCTTTACAATACACGGCAAACATTCTGGCAATAAAAAGTAAATGATAAACTGGATTTGAATTGGATCTGAACTTGATCTCCAATTTAGAGAGGTAACAACTAACTAACTAACTAACTAACTAACTAACTAACTAACTAACTAACTAACTAACTAACTAACTAATGAACATATTTGGGGCACCCACTGATTCATTCACGGATCGGTTTTTTTCTTTTAGAAAAATCCAAGTTTATTACTTATAAGACCATTATTGCTGATTAAAGATATATATATTAGTAATAATAATTTTACATGATAAATACAAGAATAAATATACAAATAATTAATTGGTTAATTAGTTAAAGAACATATAAATACAATCAAAGAAAAGTAATAATTAATAATAATAAATATATAAAGGGAAAAACAATTGTCTCTTGTTTTTTTTTCATCCTCGATGAATTTATTTCACGGTGATGGTGGCGGAGAAATATTTCCTTGTACAGCCCAACCACCACCACTTTCTTCATTAACCGAGACACTATTTGGATCAATATCTTTTTTTTTTAATTTTTAAAAAACCATAATTTAATTAATAAAAAATCAAAAAATCAATGATTATTATAATAAGATAATTATTTACCCAGATAACAAAAATCACATAATCTTATAATATTAGCCGTGCTAAACCTATTACTAAACCTATTTTGTTGTTGTTGTAATTGTGGATCCTCCATTAATATTGTTAAAAAATCTTTTGGAATTGAAGATAAATCAATGGGTTTTTTGGTAAGACAATCTGTACAAACTAAATAAATAATAATGAATGAATTAATTAATTTTTGATAGTTTGGTTGGTTAATTGACTTAAAAAAAACCTCCACTTACCAATCTTTTTACACTTAATACAAACATTCTATAATTTTTATTTATGAAAATTAGAAAATTAAAATTAATAGATCAAAATCAATTAATTAAAAAAAAAAATAATAATATAAAATTAACTTACCCTCCATCTAAATATATTAAAATCAATCATACATAATTCACATCGTCTAGCAACAATTGCTTCATGAATAGATTTAATCTATCGCATTAATGTAAATATCAATATGGTGCATTATGTATTTTAGACGCTTTTGTCAATAAATTGAAATGATTAAAATACTTACTTGTGATGTTAAAATTCCTGATCTTCCTGATACATCTCTCCTTGAAATCTTATTATCGTTATCACTTCCTATACTAATTTCTTTCCCGTGACCACTACTACTACTTCTGTTAGATCCTGTAAGATTCCATACATGAATTCCAGGTGCTAAATCCTCGTCTCTCAATGCATCTGGAAACATTGTGAAAAAACACGGATCACAAGCTCTCGCCCATTGATCTTCTCTTTCACTTGATCCTGGAATCACAAAATTCTTTTATATATATTTACATATATAATTAATATAAATTATTACGAATCATAAACGCCATACACACACACACATATACACATATACATACTCTTGTTGAACAATCATGACAAACAACTATACCACATGCTCTACAATGATGTTTTCTTCGAAACAATGTGAACTCATCACTACAATTCATACACTTGTCAGCTTCTGAATCAGGAACCCAAATTGGTGCGTGATAATTTTCTACAATTCTTTTTTTATATATATCTTTTCTTTCCGAATCAAAATTACTATCTATTTTTGTTTATTTTTTTCCAGATTAAAAAAAATCATTATTATTAAATTTTCCAAGTACAAAGTATATTTCTTTTAAATTACCAATTTTCAATGTTCTTTTTGCACTCAAAAATTCTTCTTTTGTGTTACGAATAGCATTTATCCATGATGTTTTTTCTTCTGGTGTATCTGAATAAATTGTAAAACTTTTTTGTGGTGTAATAATCTGAAATCCATTTTTCATTGCATCTTTTAATTTTTAATAAATAAATCAATATTTTAGTATAAAAGATACATTATTATCAATAATAATAACAATAATAATAATAACAATAATAAATAATAATAATAATAATAATAATATAGATATGTACCAACAGTATTTTCCAAGACTGTAACGTTTTCAAGATCAAATTTACGATGAAAAGTGAATGTATTATCAATCAAACTTAGACTATTTAATATTGTATATTATTGATTATTATTATTAAAAACTTATCGTAGCGCAATTAACACAATTAATTATTATTATATATAAGTAAAAGTACCTTGCATAAATCAAAATATCAGAAAATAAAAAAAATTCGCGCTCTTGATGATTTTTCCGGCATATCTATATTATATATTAATAGTATTAGACAAATTTAAAACATTAAAAAATTAATATAATTTTATTAATCACCTTTTTCACCCTTCCTCTTTTAATGAAAGTTCTACCAGGTATTAAAACTGCTTCATCAAATCCGGTTAGAAATCTTTGAATTTCCAACATAGCTATAAACATTTCATGTTGACGAATTGTTTCATTAACAAAAGTTGCAACATTTTCAATAACATGATAAGCTTTCTTTAGATTAAGATAATCAGAATGCGAATCAGGTGTTTTCTTTAGCAAATCCTCTAATAGTAATTTATATCTAGGGATTCGTTGAACTGGCATTATTAAATATGCTTGCAAAGTAAGACCTTTACATTGTCCTGTTTTAATCACATCCTATTATAATTATTATTATTTTTGTTAGTAGGAAAAAAAAAATTTTAGATCAAATATTTGTCAAAAAAAAAAAAATTATAAAAATTTTTTTTTAGTAAACTTAATAACGTACTCTTAAAAAAGCAGTAAAATTTGGATTATCCCTTAATTCTGCATCAATTACTGCAAGTGCCGAATTAAAATTTTTTACATAAATAGAATACATCTTGAAAAATGGCGCCTAATTAATTTAATCAATCAATCAATCAATCAATCAATCAATCAACCAATCAATCAACCAATCAACCAATCAACCAATAAATCAACTTATTAATTCATCAATAAGTTTTATGGACTTACCATATTAAGGAAAATGTCTCCTAAACAACCATCCTCCGGATTCCAAAATTCATCATCATCTGTATTCCCCTCCAATGATCCAAAAACCCTCTCCTCCAATCTTTTAAGCAATTCAGAATTTACACTTATCAAGTCCAACATATTTGCAAATATTTTGTTTATTGTTTTTTTACTTAGAATTGGATTTAGTGTAGAAAGAGATTTAAGTAGTGGATTAAGGAATAACTGTGCATGTGTCCAAAAAGAAAATTAGAACATGTTGATTTGTTATATTAATCAATTATCATGAAAATTAGATAGATGGGCTTATTTTCTATATATACCTTTTGAACAAGTAACAAACATTCAACGTAATGGCGTTCAGTAGTTAAAATTTCCAATGCAATATGCAATCTTTTTTGCATGATATCGTTAATACTCATTCTGATCGAGGCGCGAGATATTTTTTCGTTGAATTGAAATTTTGATAAAGTTGAGACTCTTTTAGGACTGGTGTCGATGAGATCCTGATTCAAATGATTAGATGTCATTGTAGTAGTGGTGGTGGTAGTGGCAGTGGTAGTGGTAATGGCAGTGGTAGTTGCTGTTGCTGTTACTGTTGCTGTTGCTGCTGTTGCTGCTGTTGTTGTTGTAATATTATTGGATGATGCACTAGTGCTAGAATCGTTGTTGTGAATAATAGGCATAGATGCACGACGTGACGTGGGATAATATCGATTTGTGGGATTGTTTGATACAGATTCGTTGGTCACGGTTGGTACTGAAAATCGATGATGATGATCGGGAAGATTGGTATTATTGTTGATGTGTTGTTGTGAAGGATTGTGGAAATCGAGTGATTTCCTTTTATGATTTTTATAGTTAAATTCACTTTGACAAGGTGATGCACTTAGGCTTGATGCAGTGTCACACAGACTATCACGATGACTTGTAAGTATGGAAGCCGAAAATGAAGATGACAAAGAATGAGACGAGTCTGATAAAGCATCATATTCGTTGTCTACATTTGTAGCCGAAGAGACACTCGAAACCGGTCTACTTGAACCTGTTAAAGTAGGCGATAATGTTAAATTATAATTATCTAGTAATTGAGGATCGGAACCGCTTATTTCATTGATTGTTGATGGTAATGATGACGACAAGGAAATATCAATTAACCTTTCACTTCTTTCTGATGATTTGATGCCATTAATACCATTATTACTACTTATGCTACTATTGTGGTTGTTGTTGTTGTTGTTGCTTAGTTTTGTTTGAGTAGAATCTTTATGTACAAAAATAGAAAGTCTAGACTTGGCAGTTGGCATTTTGTTTTCAAGTATTGGAGTTGGTTGTATTAATGTTTCTTCTGCCTCAGAATTTGTGATAGGGCTATTTAATATCCATGACTGTCTCATGTCTGGAGATATTGCTTTACGTACAGAGGGAGAAATAGGTATGAAAAAATTTGGGAATGAATTGTTGATTGGCTCGTTTACATTGCTTCTGGAGTCAAGTATAAGTGGGTGAGGTTTTGGTTTGGGTTTTGATTTAATATTATGCTCCATTTTATATATACTTATATGGTAAATAAATTACGCCTCCCTAAGTAAAATTAAATGTGTGTACGATATATACAAAGCTTACAAAATTTTTTAGAGTTGAGAACAATTTTTTATATACGGATAAAATACTAAAATAATTCAAATGAAAAAAAATAAAATGAAAAAAAAATAATGAAATTTGAGTTTACAATTTCACAATTTCACATTTCCCCTGTTTTCGATTCTTAAAAACGATTTTATAAAAAGATACACACACAAAAAAAACAAGTAATGATCATTTGTGATGATCTACACAGAACGGCAATATTTACTCATTGTTGCTATTATTAGATCTCCAAAACTTTATAATGAATTGATTCTCTCTACCAGATAATCTTTTTAAAATGACCTAAAGAAAATATGTATAAGTTATATATATGATATATATTATATATATAATTTTACACTACTAACTTCTGAATTGAATTGATATTTTTCAAACATAATTTCGCAAATTTCTTCAGGTTTATTTTGTTTAATTACTAATAAATAAAATATTCCTTTAATGGAAAGTAGATCCTAAAAATAAAATATATAAATAATTTAATAAATTACAATAATAAATAAATTGTATTTGTGATTCATAAAAATTGTTTGTATTTACATCAACTAATATCAACATCTGATCAATTACTTCTCTTCCATTAATTCCCCCAGCCCAAGATTTGTCAAGAATATTATTATTTGAATTTAATTCTTCGGAATCAGTAACAACATACGGCGGATTAAAACATAATAAATCAATTGAGTGTTTAAGTCTTGGTAAAAGTCCTGACGTTAAGTTTGTTGTGATTGCATCTAATTGTATCTAAATTGTAAATACGTGGGCGGATGGGTGGATGGATAGATGGATGAATGGATGGATGAGATTGATAAATAAAAGAATGAATAGTGAATTTGTAAGCGAGTGATCAATAAATTGGTGGAATAACTACAAGATTTTGGTGTCCGGTTTTAACCGTTATTGAAGTTGCATATGGGTTGATGTCTGTGCATAATAACAAAGATGTATTTTTATCAATTAACATTCCTAGAAATGTAGAAATACATCCTGAACCTGATCTTTATAAATCATGTTATATTTAATATATTTTAAATATTTTAAATAATTCTACTAGTGTGATAAAAATTCGCTAACCCAATTTCCAAACAAATGCAAGGTTTTAAAATACTTCTTAAGAAATTTTGTTCATTTTCTAATGCATCAAGGAATAAAAAGGTATCCTCTTTGAAGTATGTATATACACAAAATTTTAGTTACTATTTTTCCCTTATATGATATAGATTCGATTCTTTATAAATCTTATTATTAAGCAAAATATTGACCTGCTGGTTCATATACATAATTATAATCATTGCTTGTTATATGATCTAGATTTGGTGTTGGTATCATCTTCATTAATTATTGTTTGGAGAAGCAATTATAGAATTTGGGGGTACGCAGATCAATCATGGGAATAAGGGGATCGAGTTTTTTTGCATATGTTTGCAGACTTGATATTTTGCAGGGATCGTTACTCAAAAAAAAAAATTTATTATGTTCCTAACCATATTTTGCCATACATAAATGAATTATGTCATTTTTAATGAATTTATTTAAATAAAATTTATTACCATTTCCACCCCTGATGATCCCTTAATCTTTTCCTTAATAAATTTGACCCCATTCCATTTAAATCTTTTTTAATTAAAATAATTAAAATGTTATATTACTTACCTTTTATATATATAATTTTTTAATATTCCAAAAAAAGAAAAGGTTTCTTTGTATAATATTACCTCCTTAAATGAATATATTAATATTTGTGTTATATCTAAAAAAAAATAGAGTTTGTGCAATGAATTCATTGAACATTTTACTGATAATCAATGTTTTGTGTGACCGAATTGAATGAATTTTCTCGCAATTGTTGTTCATATTTTGAAGAAAAGAAGTTGTATATGGAATTTGGTGAAGAAGCCGAAATTGTAAAAGATGACGGAGAAAAATCTAAAGGATCCATTTGTTGAGTTAATGTCTCTGAAGTTTCTGATGATGAATCTATTGCATCTAACTATGCCATGCACTTATTGAAAATACAATGACCTCGAAAAGAACAAAACTTGATCCACTTTTATTTGAAAAGATTGTTTTATTTGAAAAAAAAAATTATCAATAACTTTGATAGGATGTAAAATTAAAATGTTTTATTATAATGAATATAATCATTCAAATAATTAATTTAAGATCAAATGAAAATCTGAATATTTCAAGTGATTATCTGAATATTGAACTTATTAATTGAATGAATACAAAATGAATGAATATTCAGTGGTATGATCTCTACTAAAAAGAGTCAATACAAAAGGAAATCAAAGTCCGGCAGAATAGAAACACAAACAAGGTGATGATGGGTGGGCAATGTTAGAAACCATTGGTTCAAGTCTAGTTTAAAATTTAAATTTCCTGATTTGTTTATTTGCTTAGGATGGAGAATGATAATGATAATAGAGGAAGATGATGGTGAAGAAACCAAAGAAGAAATGAATGTTTGATAAAAATATTCAATACAAATTATCAGAAACTTGAAGTTCAGAGTCAAATTTTAGATCATTCCCTCTTTTGAAAAAGGTTAATGATGACCTTATGGCATGAAAGATATGATACAATGGAGAAAATTCATGGTGGCATGGTGAGCTCTGAATTTATCGAAATTGAATTCTGGCTCTTTGAAATAAAATCTGCCTAGAGTCTGTCAAGGTCTCTACTATGCTCAGCGCAGATCCTGTCCCAATTAGCATGTAATCTTTATCTTCCTCTCAAACCAGGCTGACTGTTTCCATATGGGCATTGATCACTGATGAGGATCAGCTTTCTCGATTACGAGTAAAAGTAACCCTTGAGCATTTTGTGTGATGATTGCTGTTATCCCGACCTGTAGAGGTTTGAAAATTCGCCAACTCATGAGGTTGAAAACTAGGTTGTTGTTTGAATTTTCCCTGAATTCAGAGTTTTGAGTCTTGGATTGCTGTCATGTTGGTGACATGCCTACTCACCAATAACCCTCTATAAATAACAAATTCAGTTGATTAAATAATAATTAAAGAAACAGAAAATTTATGAAAATGATTAATTTACACATAACATACCAAACAAATTCTGAACCATTTTATTTTACAGCTTTCCTCCCTGTGCTTGAAACGAGTTGCAGATTCTTGTTGCTTTGATGGATCTGGATGTTTATGCAAACCTAATATTACAACTCTTCAAAATGCTGCAAAGTTTCTCCATCGCAGTGCCATCCTTACCCTAGGGATCGTCCTTCTCTGGGTCTGGGTGCTATGAGGGAAGATTAGTGAAAGTGTCGTTGGCGATTGATGCAGTCTCGGTAAACTCCACGTCCCCCCCCCCCCTAAAAATTTAACAGCATCATCGTATCATCGGGGCACACTAGTCGGATTAGCCTTGTGTACACGAGGAAGATGAGAATGACTAAGTGTTCAAGGTGACGTGTATCTGTAAATTTCTGATTATCAAACGTTGTACATCGAATTGTTTTATATTTGAATTGTTTTAGCTGTGCCGCCTTGACATCTTGTAATTAATTATATTAATATTAATATCGATTACAATTACGAAAAGCGAAATACCAATCGTTCATTTATCATTATCAAGAATCTTATAATTAACAGCGAGATCTGCCCATGTCTTTGATTTCAATAATATACATTTATATTAAACAAAAGACATATCAATGCAAATTAAAAAAAGTACCTTTAAACAATACACCTGCTTCAGAACCAAACGACATCACTCGCGTCTTGTCATCTACACTAATTTTTTTTCCAGAAAAAAAATCTTTGTGCAACACCAAGTGTCAGTGACTGATTTTTTTACCAGTTATAATCCTTATAATATAAATTATATTATGCTAGAGAACCCATATATGTATAAAATCTTTTTGACGCGTCTTATTTTAAAAAAATAAAAATAAAAATGCCAAGAGAGAAGCGAAGTTAAGAATTTGTTGTTCCCAATATCTCTGGGTAAGTGTTTATCATAAAAATGTGGCTGTTGTCACTCTAGTTAGTTATTAAAAACATGGTGCGATCCTTGCAACATGCCGTCATTCTAGCTTCACTAACCAATATTATCTTCACTTTTTTTTTATAATTGCTTCAGAAACACAAATGAATATGGTGCATGGGTAATACTGAACATTTAGTTTGGGTATTAATTAGTTCAATTTCCAACATACGCAAAATTAAAAGAAAAAATCTTTAGTCTATGAAGGCAAAGTTCTCCACAATATTAAATGTTGGGGCATCCAACACATTTTCATAATAGACTTTAATTAATTTCTAATTGGTTAAATTAGAATAATGACGCTTTAACAATATCACCAGATCATTGCCACTTGTCATCATTTGATTTAATGTATTAGCAATGACACTGAAAGCAAAAGTAAGCACTATTCTTTATTGCTTTTTTGTAATTTTATTGATATTCTAAACTTATTATTATTCTTGTAGTTAATTGTTAAAAAAAAAAAATATAAAGCTTCTTGAACATCTGGTCTCAAAAGAAGCCAAGGAGCAAGCTTCTGGACTTACAATTATGTTGTGAACCAACTACCAACACAACAGATATACTTTTTAGGTTACCTCTCACATTAAATAAAGAAATTATAATTATGTATATTAACATAGGAGGTACAGTTCATTTCCACGCCATGTATTAAAGGGTTTTATGCAGATCATACAATTATTTTTTTTTACATATTTAAAAAAAAAAATTAACCATGGATTACATGAAAAATAATGGAATAACAATATTAAATAAAAGATTATGGCATACATGATGGCGAAATAGGTTTGTTTAATATTAATATACCCTAATATTAACAGGTTTCGAAAAAATCTAAATATAAATTCGAGAAAATCGAAAAATCGAAATAACTTTTTTGCATTTTTGTATTCATGACTTTAAATAATAATAATAATCCTAGAACCCGAAATCTTTATTTATCAGACCGGATGACCACCGAATGATGTATGGCATTATTTTGATAAAGGAAATAAAAGATTTCCTGGAAAATATGACGCAAGTTGTAAATATTTATTGAAGAACATTTAGCTAATAATTGTGCGAATGTACCTGTTGAAGTCAAAAACATTTATCTAGAAATTGTATTGAATAGATTGAATAGACACCATCTAGAACAAGGTTCATCAAGTGATTCTAATTCTGTAAATTCATTTAATTCATCCAACACAAATAGAAAAAGACAAAAAAAAACGAGCTGATATTAATCAACAACAAAGAATATGAGTGCTTACGTTGATTCTGCTACCATTACTAGTCAAAAACCAAAATAAATTGATCAAACGTTGGCGTAGATGTTTGTTTGTTGTGGACTTTCATTTTCACTTATAGAAAACCCTTTTTTTGTGGAGCTTGTCAATCAATTAAAACCTGGATATAAATTACTTACCAGGCGTAGGAGACAAAATCATATGAATTTAAGTGAATTTATTATCTATTTATTCTATTTTATTTACCCATAAAGATGGTTAACCATTTTTCTTCTTAATTTTTAGCATTGGACAGATGGGCTGCTGATCCAGCTGGTAAATCCATTATAATTATGTGACATTAACCCAAACAATAAAGAATATTTATTAAAACTTATGGATTATGCCAAGGTATTTCGATTTTGAAAGCTTGTGATTTTTTCAAAAGTTTCGAATTTTATTAAATAACTTTTGCCATCATGCATGGATTATGGGCAATGCCTCGAAAAAATTCCACGAGTAATCTATTATCATGATCATTAAAAGATTGTTTGAATTCATGCTTCATGAATGATGTTTTCTCTTTGTGAAGGTTATGGTGCACTTCGCAAAATTGATTCTATGTCAAGTTGGACCCTATTTTGTTATTTTTGCATTTCATACTATGCGGCGCAGAGTATGGAGGGTGTGCATTTATTCACTTGACATCGTACAAAATCTCCTTTTGAATTGGAGGATCATTTCCAGTATTAGTATATAAAATTCAATGCCCGGAACGTCCGCGTATTACGTTACACTTAAAAAGAATTTTGCAGATAGTTTCCAAATTTGTACTAGTTTGCGGTTGAATTTTTAACGCTGCCCATTTCTTGGTTTCCAAGAATCTACCCAATTTATCCAGCTTGAAGTAGAGATACTTTCTCCTTTTTTTATTTTTTTTTTGTATTATTCTCTTTTTTTTAATTTAATTCATTTTGTGATATATTTTCTCTATTTCTTCTTGGATTATCAATCATCATCATCATCATCATCATCATTATTATTATTATTATTATTATTATTATGTTGTTGTTATTTTTAATTAATATAACGCCACTTTTCTAAACCTTTTTTTTGTCCACATGGAGAAGATCAACAAACCAATTGCACAAAATTAAAATCTTTATTGCAAAAAAAAAAAAAATGACAAAGCCATGTAAAATACATAGTTATAGTGATGGAGATGTTATATTAACAGTCGAGGATACATCATTTCAGTTACATATAAGTATTTTATCACTTGCATCAAAAGTTTTCGAAAAAATGTTTTTATGTGGCTCTTCAACATCATCGACATTATCAACAGGACGACAACAGCAGCAACAAGAACAACAAGAAGAAAAAATTCACATAATAAAACTCGAAAATGAATCAGCAAAATCATTTCAAGATTTTTTATCATTTATTTACCCTACAAATAATCTAAGAATTTCATGGGGTAATATTGACGATATGCTTAGGATAGCTGATAGGTATGAAGTCAGTTCTTTGTTTGATAGAGGTTTTGAATTTTTAGAACGAGAATTTTACTTTAAACCTTTATACTCACTACTGTTGGCTGACAGATATAATATTCCAGTAGTGTACAAGGAATCATCTAAACTCGTGCTTGACAATTTCACGACATTTAGATTAGACAACTTGTATAAAGATTTGTCAGTGGCAGCATGTAACTCATTGATTAAACGATATGGTGGCTATGTAATTTCATTAATGATAATAAATAAGATAGATTTTATATCAAATTTTTCACATACTTGTAATAATGAAAATGACCATGTTACAATATTAACAGATTTGTTAAAAACACGAATTAATGACGTGTTTACACTTCCGCCACTTCCACCATCTAAATTTTATAGTGTATTTAGTCAGAAAATTAATATGTATGCTTTTTTTAGTCAAGGGCTGATATGCGAGTGTTCGTTTAATGAGCATTTTATGGGGTTAATCAAAGAATATTTTGGTGAATTTGAACCTTTAGATATCGAGGGAGATAAAGTAAATGCACCAAAATATATATTTGTTGAAATTAATAGATAATTATACATGCTAGATAATTAATAATTAATAACTAATATTATTTAAATTTAGAATAGTGTTTATATAATATATTTATAATAATGAGATTAGGATTCAAATAATTTTTTTTTAATAAAATTGTACGCATATCTTAAGAATAAGATATTATTAAAGTATCAACAGAGTAACGCTTCTACTTCTCAAGAGTAGGTTGAAACCGTCTCTTTTTTTTCTTTCAATTCCCCTCTTCTATTTAAACGTGAAGATTCCGCTTTGTGCGGTAAAACTTGTGACAGAGTATTAACAAATAAACATATTGTGGTGGATGTTTTTGATGGGATACTTTTGATCCTTCCATGAAAAAATGATATTCTAAGTCACGTGATGCTGTTGATGAATTGGTCCATTTATGTTAGAGATCACTCAATTAGCCGATAAGATTTAATTTGAAATATTTATTCTAGAGCAGTCCTAAGTGCACCCCCCTTTAAATGCACGCACAAATGCGCCCTTCTCTGAAATGTACGCTCATGATATGCTCCCAAGGAGGGTGCACTTGGAGGGGGTTGACTATATTGCTTTATAAATATAATATATATAATAAAAATGACCGTAAAAAGGAAAACGAGTAGCATGAGAATTCAATGAGTAATTAATATCAATAAAAATGAGGTACTGGTTTGTTGGGTTAGGTAATAAAAATTCATAGTACTTCGATTTTACGAACTGAATTAATCCAAAATAAAAAGAGTAACGTAATGATAATATTTGAACTTTGCATTTTACTTAATCGGTGGTGAATCTCTCATTTCTAATGGAGTATCGTGATTGTTCCATTGTTAAAACACATAGTGATAAATGCAGCCGAAGTTCTATAAGCATTCATCAATTTTATACTTTACAAATAGTATATTTTAATATCAAGCCTAATTCATTCACCTAGATCTTTGAATTCAAGAAACAGGTTGAAGGGAAGAGGAATTCAGACCAAATGGAAATAGCCAAACTATCATCTCCAAAAAGACAAAATCAAAAATAACAACAATAACAAAAAAAAAAAAATCATCGTCGTCCAAAGAAAGTCAAATATCAAAGGGAAGGTAGGGAGACAATAAAAAGACGAGGTCATCGACACCATGCAAGATTTTCTAGTGACAGATATAAAATCACCAAGATATCATCGCACTTGCTTGCTTGCTAGATGCCAAGTAAATTAGGGAATGAAATGAAGAGCACGTTGGATAAAATGATTGATGATCAAGGATGTGACCTGTTTGTCCAAGGTAAGTAATTATCATGGACTTCCTTTTGGCATACTTAGAATTAAAAATAATTAAAGTAGTTTATTTAAATTCAAGTGATTATAACAAATAATATCTCTTTTTAAATCATTAATACTGCCACAATTAAAATCACAATTATCATTATTGCAATTTAATACTCACGGCCATGTATGTAATTCACGGATGTCAAAAAACCTACCTATGTACAATTAACTGAAAAATGGAGTGGAGTAAACCAAAGACCTGTAAACAGACTTGTTAATAGTTGTTCAATTTGCATCGAGAAAAAAAAAGAACTGGCAGCTAAAATAATTATTTCTGAAAGTTTTATGAATCTGTTGTGCTTGAATTTGAAATCTGTGTCAATTTGAAATTAACGCGCGTAAAATTCAATATTTATTTTATTGCCTCATTGCAATTGTTCATTTTTTGATTAAACAATTAGGATTCCATTGCAGTTCATCTCCACCTACAAATCGCCGCCAACCTCGTCAACCACAAATCTCCCTCCGTCAACAAGTAAATTAACAACAAAGCAGCAGATGAAGTACTCTGTTTTTTTTCGCTAATTATATGTAAAGGTTATCGTATCTAGAGGAATAGAATAACGATCACAAAAAAAGTAGAACAGGAAGGATGATGCTTGAAAATAATATAGTGCAAGTCACTTACTTATATGGCATTAGTCACTATTTTCTCGTTCACGTGACCGTCAAGTTGGGAAGACATTAGGTTCAAGTGTTAAATAGCAAACTTACAGAAAGAACCATTCATTAAAAATTTTTTTAATTACCCTATGTATGTAAAAGTATAAGTATAAGTATGATTTATATATGGAATCCAAGAATTGTAGCGTTATTAAGATGAGAAATAATACCAAATTACCTATGAAATCGGGAAGGCCCTTTTCAAATCTATTTTTTTATTATATCAATTCCTTCCTTCTCTTAGATTTTGAAATGTTCTTTATCTTTTGTTTTTAAATTTATTTTTCTAACAATGTGTGTTTGTTCCCATAGCCTTCTTTCTCCTAATAAAATGATGAATATGGGACCGATACCCTTTTGAATTCCTAGTTCTATCGTTGAAAAACCAAAGTTTTAACTTTAATTTACGAACATTTCATTCTTTTAAACCTTTCTTTTTCTTTTGGTTACAAGTTTGTATAATTATCCGTCTTCTTTTCCCCCATTCCTTATTGGTTTCTTGATGCCATTTCAGCTTATCTAAAAGAACTGTTGTAGTTTGTAATTGAGGTTCCTATGATATTTTCATAATACTGAGATCATTCCTGTTTTTAATGATTTTTCATCAAAATCATTTCTTCATATTATCTATTTATTCATAATTATAAAGATCCAATGAATAATCTAATAGAAGTTAGATCACAACACGATATTTAGTATGTATATTAATTTTTTATTTTTTGATTAAAAAAATAATTTTAATAAATAAATAAATAAATAAAAATTTTCTTTTAAATAATATCTATATATATTATATATATATATATATATTATGTATATCTTTAATTATTCTAATTATTTTTAAAAATACAAGCAGATTAATTATTAAAAAATAAAAATCTTTTTATAATATCTCATAATTATCTTCATTGCTGTTGTTATTATATGGTGACTTTTTTTGTTTTATTAAATTATTATTATTGTTGTTGTTGTTGTTATTATCATTATTATTATTATTATTATTATTATTATTATTATTATTAGTATTTGTATTAGTATTTGTGTTAGTATTTAATACTGGTATTGCTGATGTTTCATTTTTTTCGCTATTTCCATCTCCATCATCATTGTCTTGTTCTTCTTTAGCCCAAATTCCAATCCCAAAACTATCTTCTTCATCAGTTGAAAAAGTTGAAAAATCTTTTGACTCTTCTACATTATAATAATCTACATCGTCGTGATTATTGTTACTATTATTTTTATGAACTTGAACTTCATCTTCATTATCAGCCTCCTCATCTTTATACTTATCTAACCCAACTTCTTCTAAAATAATTGATGATAATGATTTCTCGCTTAATTTATCATCACTATTGCTTAATAACAATAATGATGATAACGATGAATGATCACTGCTACAATTACTAATCATACTACTAACAGAAGATTTGTTGTTAAAATTTGAATTCTTTGGTAGTAAATTTTCATTTTGTATAGTGAATATTGGAAACTGTGGTTCTGTTTCCTTTATTATATACAAAAAAAGATGTAATCAATTGATTGAATATTATATTAAGCTATGTATTCATATATTGTATATGTATATAGAATACTTTATTATGTGATAGTTTACCTTCTCAATACGTTCACAAAAATCATCAAAATCTTGTCGATTTTTACATAAAAACCCTAACAACATTGAAGGATCCATTTCTGAAATATCCATTGCTCGAACAATTGTGGAATGGTAATCCTTTGAATATATATAAAATTAATGTTTATTAATTAATAAATTATATTTTTTTAAGTAATGTTGGTAGTAGGGAGAATTTATTTGTTAATAATAATTAATAAATTAATACTTCGATTGGAAACTCGGTTGATTTATTAAGATTAATAACAGGTCTAACAAAATGTGGGTCAAGATATAGTAGATCATCATCTGAATGATATATAAATAAACAAATGCGTCAATCCTCAAAAATAATATTCATAATCAATCAATTAAAATAATTAACCATTTAAATAAATACCTTGAACAGCAACAAAATATAATGATCTTCCAGGTCTTCCACCAGCAATACCCAAGAATTGAGGAAAAGTAAACAAAGCCTAATGTATAATAGTAATAATAATATTCTTATTATGTTTAATATATTTCTTCCTATTAATGTTGTATTTACCTTTAAATTTCCTGAATATTTTTGATTAAGTTTATCTGTACCTAACCTAGTTTATAAATTATTATTATTGCAACAATAATGAAATGATGATGATGATGATAATAATGAAAAGAAAAATAACTATTTTTTACTAACCTTACAGATAACAAAATTAAAACAGGCTTCCACAATTTCATTTCACCACTACACCTATTATTATTATCATCATTATTCTCAATAATATCCATTTGTTCATCAGATGTTGCAACTAACAATAATTCATCACGATATATAGTATTGTTAGATGGAACATAGATTGACAAAGGGCAATCTTTATGAGTTAGTGATAAACGTCTGCATATATAAATAATAAACTTGTTAGAAAATTTTCATATTTCTAATATACAATCATTATATAAAACAAAGACTCGTACTTTAATGAGTGTGCTATTGTTGAGGGTCCAAACCAATCACCTATTTTTTTATCTAATGAAATTCCAATCCTAGCAATATTATGAATTGAATAATAATGTTCCGGATCTGGGTTATCTATAAACCAACTTAATATCTATAATAAATAATTTCATTTTAAATTTAAAGATTCACAGGCCAATTAAAAAAAATTATCATCATCATTATTATTGTTGCATACTTTTCTATATGTGAATTTTTCAATATCGTTTTGAACATTATGTAATCGCCAATCTATGGTTTTTTTATTTTGTTATTTTATAGCAAAAAAAATTAATTTCTGGATTTTTTTTAAATAAAGAAAAGTAATAATAGTAATCACCTCTTCCTAAAAGAACAATCAAAAATCCCTGTGCCAATAAACTTTGACCAGTTCTGTGCATACATCCCCAACCAGTATCAGTGGTATGAAAGGAAGGTTCAATTGGTGGATATTCTTTACGATAACAACAAAATATTCTTGATTGAAAATCCAAAAGAAAATCCATCAACTTTTTTTGATTTATTGTTAAAGGTCCTAATGAATCTGGTCTATATAAACTTGTAGGTGTTGGAGGTAACGATTTTAAAGATCGAAGTGAACCACTTTCTGATGATGTTGATTTTCTATTAACCCAACTATCTGAATTCTCAGGATTATTGTTATTATTGTTATTGTAATTTAAACTTGATAACGATGATGATTTGTTAGAAATAGAATTTTTATTTTTATAATTGGACAATTTATCTTGTTTTTCATTTGATTCATTTGTTATTGTTTTTGCAGATATATTGTCAATAGATGAATTATTTGGTCTAGCTGTTAACTCGGAATTATTGTCGTCATCGTTATTGTAATTTAAATTTGTCGCTAAATTTGATAATGATGGTGATTCGTTAGAAGTAGAAGAATAATTATTATTATGATTGGACAATTTATCTATTTTTTCCTTTGATTCAATTGTTATTGTTTCTATAGATATATTGTCAACGGATGAATTATTTGGTCTAGTTGTTAAATGTTTTTCTAATGCTTTACCACTATTATCAATACTATCATCGTCGTCATCAGAACTATAATATAAATCGTCAGGATAATTACTATTGTTATCGTTATCGTTATTAACGTTATTATTATTGCTATAATTGTTAATGTCTTTGGTTCGATCTTTAAACCCAATAAAATCTATGAAATTGTTTTTTTTTGTAGTAGTATTATTATTATTATTAGTAGCAGAAGGTTCATCGTCTTCAGAAAATTTAAGATCGTAATCACTTTCAGCTTCTAAATGAGGTGATAATCTTGACGAAGCTTTATTATATTTGGTTTTTTCTTTATTAGAAAAGAAACTTGTAAATGTCATTCTACGAGTTTTCTTTGATTTTGGAGAAAAATTTCCACCTTGACTATTACTATAATTATTATTATTACTGGCACTATTAAGGTTATTATTATTATGACTTAAAGTTTCAATATTGCCGTTGTAATAGTTATTATTATTAGATAGGGAACGAAAGAAAAAATTTGGCTGTGCTTTCCTTGAAGAAGAGGAAACAGGCGAAGAATGAGAAGAAGAAAAATGAAAGGTTGTTTCATAATTTGATGAATTAGATATTGCAGAATCTGAATGGATTGTTGTTGTTGAATCATTTTTTCTATTGGGAAATAAACGAGTCCTATTTGCCTCGTAATTCGGTCGTATATGTAAAGAATCATAATTATTTCCATTTGCCATTTTCACACGATTTTCTGTCTTTTGCGGTGAAAAATTGGGAGATTTTTGTTCTGGTGGCGGTGACGGTGATTTATTATTGTTGTTGTTACTAATACGAGAAAAAGATAACGACCTTAATTTCTTAATTACTCCTGTATGACTAGCTGTTGCTTGATGTAAATTTTGTTTTACTTTTGAAGAATGTATAATTCCCTGTTGATGATATTGTTGTTTTGATGATGATGGTGATGGTGGCGGCAGCAATTGTAAGTTTGAAAATGATGAATCTGGTGGTAGTGGTGATGGTAACAATGGTGATGATGAAGTAGATGGTGACAATAAATCAGGCTCGAATCTATTTAATGTAAAAGAGGATCTTGATTTTCCCGATTTGTGAGTTCGTATATAGTCCTCGCTATAATGTCTTTCATGATATCCAGGTGAATCAATATCATCATCGTCGTCGTCTTCTGATAATCCAAACATAATGAAATTAAGTAGTGAGGAAGCCCGAGTACCTCTTGCATGTTCACCTCTGTCAGGTTTTGGAAGATTAACGAACTCGCCATCCTCTACTAGTCATACGGCCATATTTATATATATATAAAATATATTTTACAGAATTGTCTTGTCCAATGTTTATATATATATATATAAAGTAGTGAAAATTATCAAAGCAAAAAAAATTCATACAATGTAATTTTTACCTGTGAATGAATACTCTATTCCAAGCATCCATATAGAATTCGTTGTATAGCTATGTTTCACTCTTGATCTTTCATCAGATTTCATATATTGAACGAGTCGCGTATTATAAAGCCAATGTCTTTAAATTTCATTTTGAAATAAACAAATAATTGGTTAGTAAATTATAGTGAAAAGTTTTTTGTTTTCCTTTTAAATAATTAAAATTTTAATAAAAAAAAACTAACCCCATTTTTTGTAAAATGTCGGTTGAATTATTGTTATTATTTTTTGTAAAGTCAAAATCAGTAGAAATATCTTCACCGTTTATTTCCTCTGGTGGTGAACTAGGTGTGAAAGTTGTATTATTATTGTTGTTGATAGAAGATTCTTCGCCGGGAAAAGACTCTACTGAAAAATCATCAACATTATCCCATTCTTCATTACCTGACACCATTATTATTGGCGAGGATGGTGGTGTAATAATTCTTATGACTGGTGGTGTTGTATTGTTATTTGAAGCAGTCAATGACATTATATATATATTATGTATGTTTTAATTGGATTGATGGTAGTAAAGAGATAATACAAAAAATAATTATATAAATAAAGAAAATAAACAAGTAAAAATATTTTTTATGAGATTTTAATTATAAATGGTAAAAAATCAGGAAGGAGTTTTTTTAGGTGGCTTTTAGAGTAATTTCATCATAAACAATATAAATAAGTTTATGATTGACAATATCACTTGCACAAATTAATGATAAATAAATAATAAATAAATGTACAAATTTTTGAATGTAGCATAGTTTCTTGATGAAGGAAGATGTTTTTTCTCTTAAAAGCTCATTAATATTAATTGTTAATCATTATTATAAGATATCAATCAATTGATCCATTTGCTTATTTCTAAAATCAAAAATTATAAACAGAAAAATACAATATTCACGTAGTTAAATAGTAATTAATAATTTCCTTTGGACCAACATTGTGAAGTTTTCTTGTCAATTTACATCTTATCAATAAATAACAAGGTGTTGTTAAATTTTCATAAAACGAAAAAAAAGGAAATTTTAGGTATTACGAAAATTATTGCGTTGCGTGTATGCTATTAATTTTTCTCTAATCCCTTATTATTTAAGGGTTTTGAAACTTAAAAGACTATCACAAATTTCTAATAATGTAATATTAAAAATATCAACTAACTTTAATTTTAAAACTTATTGAGATTGATGTTTATGTTAAATGTATAGAAGTTTCGTAATTAAAAAGGAAAAGAAGAAAAATTTAAGGCTTCAGCCAAACCGGTTGAACAGCGGTTTAAAACCGAACCGATGCACATCGGCTCAACTGTCCAGTGGGAATATTTTGTTACACTAGAATGTTTTTGTTAATTGCACAAAAAATTTACAACCCATTAAATTTATACCATGTGTAGTATACATGTTGACTCGATCCAATTTTAATCGCGCCTGACACATGCTTTCATATGACTCAATTAATTACATAAAAAAGTCACCTGATTGAATCAAGTGATCAATTTATTTCTACCACATGTATAATGTGTAGCTTAGGCTTTGGTAAACAAATATTCATGTAAAATCTAATGCTTTGAGCTTTTCTATAGCTTGAGTAACAATAAAAAAAACTTCAGTTAAAATTTGATTGTGAAAATTTACATGCATATCCTTGAGAACCCAAGCTACAAACTGATATAAATTGGGGCATACTGCAACAAAACCAGACAAAGTAAACATTATATCACACACATTACAGGGATGCAATTGATAATAATTTCTAAAAGGCCAAATATTATGAACATCAGGAAAATAAATCTCATGTAAACCTACGTAGGGTTTAAAACTGACCAGCATTATGCGGAAATGTTAACAGA